ACCCTTCCAGTTTGCATAGCACGATAATAAAAATTACCAAGTCCTCTTCAAATTATCAAAAGTAGGCCAACGAATCCTGGGGCTCAGGGTTTGGGAGATTGGGTGGTTTCGGTGCGTTGGGACCATTATTGCATCATATGTTATGCAGTGTTTATTGGTTGTGCTATAAGGATGGGAAAACACCCTGATGTAGGGGGTAGAGTAGGGTTTGGTGTACGAAAAATATTATACTTGCCATGAGAAGTCTTGTGACCCTATGGAATACTCTATTCCTGAAGGCCCTTTTGCATCCTGTCATGCTCTACCTACCTACCTACCTACCCACCTACCATTGTCCAACGTACCTGGATGGCTAAGGCCCGAACTTTCCAGGTGGATACTCCTGACAAAGAGCATCCAAACCTCAATTGGCGTCAGAGCTTTTCTCTCGCATCTTCGAATGGTAGTGGGATGCAAAACGAAAGCTCGCCGCAGCAACGGGGGGCCACGACCTTGCATACCAAACCCGATGATCTCCTTAAGCCCTAGAAACCTTAAACTCAAGATGGCCCGACGGCTCTTTGAGATTGCCGAACTTATCGCCGTGGGAGGCTCGTGAGGTGTGAAGTAAGGAATTTCTACCGCACTGTAAGAGCAGAAGCAGCGTCTCACTCACGGTCGTAGCACAACAAGCAGTATCACTCACACTTATTATGTCTCTGTACCTTTTTTGGGTCCCTATTATAATACGGCACCAATTATTTAGGGTAAAAAGGGACCATAATTTTTACAACTACCCTATATACTGGAAGCAAACGACCGTATCACGAAGGCTTTCTTGCCCTTGTGCCGAGGCCGGGACTAATGGCCGGGGGCTTCACCTGGCGGGAGCAGTGTCGAGCTCCAGGTCCGGGGACTTGCGATACTCTTGCTGCGGTATGCGTGTGTGATTTTATTGCTGGTGCGTTCTAATGCCATCAATATTAGATGCTACCGGTGCTATAGTTGCCATCACGTTCTCAGACCCTCATGCGATTCTACTAGTAGGTTTATTTGGCGTACCTTGGTGTCGACCCCGTCGGCGTCAAAGCCGGAGACCATGCGTTCGACCTCACGGGAAAAAACTCATCTCACAGTGAGCATCGAGCTCCGTGGCATTCATCCGAACAACATCCCGGTATCCCGAAAAGAACCCTGAAACCTAACCCTCACTGACTCACCCTCACTACAACTCTAAACCCTAAACCTCAAAAGCAACCCTAAACCCCAAAAGCACTCCTAAACCCTGAAAGGAACCCTACATTCCCTAAACGGAACCCTACGCTCCCTAACAGGAGCCCCCAGGGCAGCGGCGAGGCGGTCCGGGTATCGGGGTGGCTCCTGCGGCACAACGCAGGGCTCCTTGGAGTCACGGCAAAGCTGCGTAGGCTTAAGGTTTAGGGGGTTTAGGGGGTTTAGGGGGTTGAAGGGGTTTAAGGGGTTTAAGGAGTTTAAGGGGTTTAAGGGGTTTAGGGTTCAAGGTTTAGGGGTTCAAGGGGTTTAAGGTTTTTTTTTGGTTTAGGATTTAGGGGATCTGTAAGAGTTCCTTTAAGGGTTCTAGAATCTACTTGTAGGGTTTAGGGTTTTAGGGTTTATAGGGCTTAAGGTTTAGGGGTTCAAGGGGTTTAAGGGGTTTAGGGTCTTTATTTTTTGAGGGCCTTTTTGCAACTGCACTAGCCTCTAGCCGTCACAGAACCAACCGGGTTTAGGGTTTAGGGTGCAGGGGTGTGGGGTTTTAGGGTTTAGGGGTCTGGGGGTTTAGGGTTTGAGGGGTGCAGCGGTGGAGGGGTGCAGGGTTTAGGGGTCCAGGGGTTTAGGGTGTTATGGGTGCAGCGGTTTAGGGGTGTAAGGTAAAGCCCATCAACCTCCAGCCGCCTGAATAAGGTTTTGGAGTATATTATACTATATTTACAACAAGGAACCCCCCAAACCCTATCTAATTACGAAGTCCCTACATGAAATCCCTATAACAGCCCTCACAGAAGCCTTTGAAGGAACCCTTCTCTACGTATTGAGGTCCCTATAGTACCTGCCTCAAAGCGCTCTTCTGTCGGTGCTTCGAATCCGGGCCCCCGGCTGGCCGACTTCGCTCGCCGAGCCGGCCATCCTGGGATTCTACCCCCAAAGCCGGGCTTAGGGCATATAGGGTCTAGGCGGTCTAGGGTTTTGGGTCCAGCGGTCTAGGGTTTAGGGTCTATGGTTTTGGGTTTAGAGTTTAGGGTTACCAAAGCTAAGCATGGAATGTAGAATCATGTATGCGGTTTATGAAAGCAAGCGCCCCTCTCATATACCGATCCATACATGTATACAGGCATACATACACATACATGCATGCATGCATGCAAACGTACTGAGTATAGAGACAGATAGGTCGATACATAGCTAGATAAATACACGGACAGACTTATTGATGAGTCGAACATATGCATAGCGACGATATGTATAATATACATATCGTCGCTGCAGTATGTTTACACGTTTATAGATTCATGTGGGCCAGAGCCAGCCAAGTCATGTACAATCAGAGCTCCTCAAGCCCTGGTCTAACAGAAGAAGCTTGCCTGGCAGAAGACTGTCTAATCCAAAAGGATAGGAAACAGTCTTAAACAGATTACACCTGCGTATGTCTCTGTGTGTGTGCTCACATGTGTGTGAGTGTGCATCTAGCATGGGATGTATGGTATATGTCCCTGTAAGTACTACACCTCTGATGCAAACTGCATGAGCTTCAACAGTATCATGACGCAAGGACTATGCCTAAGGAAACTCGCACACGATGCATACCTACGACATACGCCAAGCCAACAAGCAAATGCGTGTGTGAGCGCCTTCGAGAGCTTGGAAAGAGAGAGAGAGAGAGAGAGAGAGAGAGAGAGAGAGAGAGAGAGACAGAGAGAGAGAGAGAGAGAGAGAGAGAGAGAGAGAGAGAGAGAGAGAGACAGAGAGAGAGAGAGAGAGAGAGAGAGAGAGAGAGAGAGAGAGAGGAGGGGAGAGAGTGGGAGGGAGAGAGAGAGAGAGAGAGAGCGAGAGGAGGGGAGAGAGTGGGAGAGAGAGAGGGGGAGAGAGAGCGTGCGTTTGAAAACCTTCAACGCGTGTGTTTGAAAACCTAAAACCCAAACCACCCAAAGCCTCTAAAAGCCGCAAAGGAAGGAAGCTGAGACTGAGAGGGCCCGGCCCGGTCAAACATCTGCCGGTGCTGCTCAAAGCGGGCACGGACGATGTGCAGATACCTGGGGGGGTTTAGGGTTTAGAGTTTTGGATTTAGGGTTTAGGCGTCAAAATTATGGTCCGTTTTGATTCTGGGGGTACCCTACATGTTAGGCGCCGTAAGATATAAGGGACCCCAACAGGGGCCATAATTTTGACAACCACCCACCTCAGGCTGCAGCTACTATGCGGGTCTCTCAGATGAACCCTTCAAAGAGTCCTTCAGAAACCCCTATATAAGTAACTTCTACCTCATCTGCTGACGGGAAATTCGCACGGATTGTATGCGAACCGTAGGAGGCCTAAGGATTCTTTCTCAAGCTCTAGGAGCAACGGGGCTTCAGGTACTGGCTCTCGATCCCCGGAGATCCATAAAGGAACCATTACTAGGAACCCACTAAAGATTTCCTTGGAGGGACCCTTGATTTCGAGATCCCTTAAAAGGGATCTGATCTTAATCCATTAAAAGGAACCTTGTCTTATGAACCCCTTTAAAGAACCCCCCAAAAGGGAACCCACAAGGCTGCGGCGCATCAGGGAGCTCGCGGGTCTCGATAATCTGCCTGCGGGGACTTCACGTAACGATGCACTTTAGGGTTTAGGGCTTAAGGGTTTTAGGGCTTAGGGTTTAGGGGTTTAGGGCATAAGGGGCTTTTGGGCTTGAGGTTTCATGTTTACAGGTTTGGCGTTTTAGCGCGTTTCGATAGTTGGGTTCCAGGGTTTAGGAATGTGGGTTTGGGGTTCAGTCTTCTCGAAAACCCTACGATGCCAAAATCCCCAAAGTCTGACCCACCCTCAACCGAACACCCAATATCTGTGGCCTTGCGAGTAAATTTGGCGTTTTGGGGCATGGCATGGTGTGACTATAATGAGGAACCCTACGGAATAGTTAAACGATTACCGACCCCCCATATTAGACCCTACGACTTAAAAGTCCGGCATACCTACCCCATCTATCATACCGACAAAAGCAGGCAACAACCCAAGCAAAACGGACCGTCATCATGCCCGTCCTCAGCCTAGCAGGGCTGCTCAACACAGGGCAGTTCTCATCGATGAGTGCATCCTGACTCTCTCTTGGGTTCGGAGTTTAGGGTTTGGGATTTAGGACTTGCTTAGGGCGGAGGATTTAGGGAATTTTGGGACAGAAAAGCCAAGTGTTTTGGATAGCTTGCTTACGAGGTTGCGGGCCTTTTAGCCTAAACCCTACACTCCGGCAGCCGGGGCACGTAGGTGGGGATGCGGCGCTGGTGCATGCTGTAGAAGGACGTGTCCTGAGCACAAACCCCAAACAAGGAACACCTTAAAAGACACCCTACAGGAGGAACTTTGAAAGGGGAACTCCAGCGGCCCAGAGGACTTAATCAGGTACTTAGAAGTTGAAAGAGTTTTGTAGGCTGCTGTTTGGGAGAACATATGAGTACTCGCTACGCTTAATGGTAACATACAATATTAAATTGCGATGTTAATGTTAATTAACATTACTATAGATATCAATGTTTGCACGAGTATGAAGTATCAAATAACAAAACTAGCATTAATGTACACATACATATTATACATGCATACATATGTGTGTATATATATATATATATACATACATGTTTTTGTTGAAGTGCTTATTACATGTTATCACATGCTACAACATGTTACCATATATTCTTACCAGGTACTTGGAACTTCCTGAGGGGAGGAGATCTTTCCTGCCTACGAAGCTATCTTGCGGAGCTTTGGGTTCCAGGTTGCCTTCGGGTTTGGGGCCAAGGGTTTAGGGTTCAGGGCTTAGGGTGTGGATTTTTGGTTTGGTATATATAAATACGAATATAAATATAAAAAACAAATAAAAAAGAGTTAAAAAGAGCGTATATGTATGTATATATATATATATATGTGTGTGTGATACACACATACATGTCGGTGCATGTGCTTATTGTCTCTGGAAACGCCGACCCTCTCCGGTTTGCGACTGAGGCCCAGGCCCAGTCAGGTCTCGAAGGTGTCTGCTCGGTCTCTGCAGGTGTCTTCGACTTCGTCTCGACCGTGCCTGGCCGCGTCCAGAGGTGGTCAGAGGCAGTGGCTGAGCCAACGGTCGTGGGCCGGGATGCCACTGATCCATAGCAACGGTAGCCCTTGTGTGCCCTTGGAGGGGCCTTGCCAACGAAAGGGCTGGTTCTCGGCCGCAGCCGGCGCGGAGGGCTTGCTGGTAAAGGCTTCGGAGGCAAGTGAGCCGCTGGAGCCGTGGCACCGCGTTGCTCACCCAGTCGCTGCAGGCTTGCCAGCAGATGAGCTGACTGCGCTTGCTTGTGGGAGATGCTGGGCTTGTCTTCGACAACCACAACTTCGTCGGATTCTTTGTCCTCTTCCTCCTCGTCCTCAAAAAGGTCGTCGTCAAACATGACCTGGCTGATATTGCTCATCTGAACAGGCTGCAGCAACGTCTTCCTTCGGGGCTCGGCGGGTTCCTCCTCGGACTGAGAGGCGGAATCCGGGGCCGTGCACTCCAGAATAGCCCGGTCTCCCGGCTCCCCCGGACGGGTGGAGACAACGAGGAGGTCGCTTAAAACTTTGGGCTTCTTCGGAGCCCGGGCAGAAGATGCTTTGTGCTTGCCCGAAGACTTCTTGGGCTCCTGTGGCGAAGCCTCGCCTTGGGCCTTCTTGTCCTCTTTCCTGGTTCATGGTTGGGATAGGATTAAAAATCCAAATTTATATTCCTTGTTAGGTTTAAGTACCCATAAACATGTAAAATGTTACCCAACTATGACAAAGTTTCTGCTCCTCCTCGGAAGCCATCTCTCGGGCGTTCTCCCGTTTCGCCCTGGCTCCTCTCCTCGAGGAGAGGGGCCGTTCCTGGTTGCGGAAGTACTGCTGGTAGGCCAGATGATTCTGGTACTGCGGGTTGTACCGAGCGTAGGGGTCGTGCTGCCACTGATTCTGTTGAGCCAGGTGGGGCAAAGCCAGCTGATTGCTGTTCTGTTGACCATAGAAACTCGCTTGTTGCCAGCTCTGATTCGCTCCGGGCGTCCCATCCTTATGCCAAAGAATTTGACATGCCATTGGGTCCGAGGCTATCTGCGAGGCCAACTGTGGAGCAGGAGCTGTGGCGCCGTAACCTATTCCCATGGCGGCCGCATACCTAGGTCCCCCAGTAGCCCCATAATAACACGGATACTCTTGTCCCTTCTGTTTAGTTTTTTAATAAGGGAACCGAAAAAAAAAAGGACAAAAGGGTACTACTGGGGAACCTAGATACAGTGCGCCTGCTGCAGCCTCGTCTACTGAGATGGTCAACTGCTTCCCTTGCCCGTAGTCCTTCCAGGGCTCGAGAGGCATGAACCATATTATCATTATAGTATAATGGGCCCCAAAACCCGATTCCAATTATTAAGGCCCCTATAGTAATTGTATATGGCTTCTGTTTATGCAGAGCTGCCAGAGCAAACATAAGACTAGGCTAGACCAAAATCTTCACCGGTCGAAGCTCAAAGCTTCGGAAAGTCCTTGAAGTCGGAAGACGCAAACAAATATCCCAGCTGCTCCCCAGAGATGGTCGCTTCCAGGTGCGACTGAAAGTCAAAGCCCGGGCCCACATCCGTGGCTCCGGGTGTTGGCACGGCCTGACCACACACACACACACACACACACACACACACCCCGGTTTCTATGATTTAGGGATTTGGGGTTAAGGCTTAGGGTTTAGGGTTCCTATCAGAATTGCTCTTCTTGCTTATGCTTCTTCTGAAAATGTCTTATTCTAATCACTGTGTTCTGGAGTCTGAATCCCAAGATACTCACGTCGGGTTTGCTAGCTTCCCTCCACCAAGTATGAGGAGTATCGGCGGGATATGCCCCGTGAAACAATGGGTTATTGAATCCCCACCACTAATGACGACAACAATAATAACATAATCGTGACAGTAAAACAAAAATCTGAATACTGATTAACATTATTAACAATACAGTGAAATATAATAAACACAACAATCACAATAAGAATCATATAGTTGACATCCTTGCCTCAAACTACCCGCTGCAGCGACCCTGCGCCAACCTTTCCTGTCGGGGGTAGGGGACCCCGAAACAACAATTGAGGGTAGCAGCCTGGAGCCCAAAAGCAGGTGAAAGACAACACTCTGAACCCATGAACTCCGAGCCCCCAAGCGCCTATTTAAACCACTGGAGACGCCGCTAAAGAACCCCTAAAGTCCTCACCACAAGCCAGACAGTTGAAACAAGAACCGCAGGGTTTAGTTAAGGCTTTAGGGTGGATCCTAGCCCGTTAAAGCGTGAAGAAACGTCTCTGCTGGACCTCCGCCCCTGGCGACGGAGGCTCCTCCTTGCGCAGTCCAAGGGTCCAAAGAAAGGTCAAGGGCTTTGTAGTAGGGTGCAGGGTTTTCGGGTCTCGGCTTTCGGGGTTTAGGGGTGTTGGCGTTTAGGGTTTCGGGGTAAAGGGGTCGCTCACAAAAAAGTCACTGCCCCTCAAGATTTCAATGTGCGTCATACTGCATGGGGTACTCGCTAGGTTTTGTCATTTGTCACTTGACTTCCTTCTACATCGGAGCAATATATACCCTCTACGTTGCTACATAGATGCTAGATATGCAGAGACATAAACAGATAGATAGACAGATAGCCAGTTAGGTCGACAGGAAGCCAGGTATGTAGATAGACAGATCGAGTTGTAAAGCTGCTCAATCAATCAATCCATCCATCCATCAATCAAGCAAAACAGTCATAGCACACCAGCATTACGACACGAGACTGAGTTGTTGACATGCCCCAACAAAGACCTCAACACTTAATACCAAAATCCCCTGACGTTAAGCCCGTCATAGCCTCCAACCCTAAACCCGAAACGCTGAACGACAGCTCAAAACCAAACCTCATACCTCCTTCCCTGCAGAACTGAGAAATACTTCGCTAATGTTCCTTCTACAGTTATCATTGCATTGGTTATATAGCAACACCAACGGACTCCTCGAAGCCCAATACCCTAAACCCAAAACCCTAAACCCAAAATCCTAAACCCAAAATCCTAAACTTAAACCCCAAAATCCTAAAAACTTAAACCCAAAATCCTTAACCCTAAATCTTAAACCCCAAACCCAAAATCCTAAACCCTAAATCTTAAACCTCAAAACCCAAAATCCTAAACCCAAAGTAAGCCCCCAAAACAAAGCGTGGCGCCTCCTCCGCGCCATCCTTTTGAGCCTCCGCCTCGGCGTCGAGGCCTCCGGGCTGAAAAAGGAAGCTCCGGATTGCTCTAGGGATTTAGGGTTTAGGGTCTTAGGGTTTATAGGGCCTTAGGGTTTGTTTATATTTTTTCTGAGCACTCTTTTCCGTCTGCCCATTCGGTTAGTTGGAATGCCGATTCCGCTGAGGGGTGGTTCGGGCCTGTCGGGGGATTCACCACCAAACCATCCAAATGCTACCCGTGTCTTAGGGTTTACGGCCTTGGGGTTTAGGGCCTAGGGTTTAGTTTTTTTTTTTAAGTTGATGTGCACCCTTTCTCCAAAGCAGCGCTGGCATTTTGCCCTCAACTTAGTAAAAGGGTTTAGGGTCTTAGGGTTTAGGGCCTTGGGGTTTAGTTTAGGGTTTAGGGTTTAGTTAGGGCCCCGTAAAAAGCCTGTAGTAAAGGGACCTTAATAATTAGAATAGGGCTTGGGGGTATATTCGGGTATATTGTACTATACAAAAAATAAGGAACCCCCAAAACCCTCTTCAAATTAGTTAAGGCCCCTACATTAGCAGGTGTTAGAAGAGTTTTGTACTGCTTCCTTAATGGGTTTTATAGGGCTTTGTATGGGTCTCAAAGTGCCTCCTTGTGGTGTAAATAAGGGTAACTTAAATTAGAGTTCCTATCCTCCTATGCTCTCGACCAGATTGTGCAGTGACACCAAACGCACCACAATTGAAACCTATGAACCCTACACCTCAACCCTAAGTACTAAGCTCGACACCCCTATACCCCAGAGCCTGGTTGAGGGCCCCGGGCAGTCGCACCTCCGGGTTCCTGCCGTGTCCAAATGGGCAGTTCTCTAAATTCGGGTCCCTTTTAGGGTCAGTTAAAGGTTTGGGTTTTTTTAGCAGTCTATAGTACGGGTAGTGCTAAGGGCCTTGTAGATTTTTGTCGTCAATGCTATCCGACTGTATATTGTTGCAATTCTCGCGGCAATACTGCTTAAGTAGGGCGATAGGAGTTACGATGGCGACACAAAGACCAGAATCACCTTCTCAGCAGCAGAGGGTGGCAGCTGCACCATCACCACCAGTAGCCGCATGAAACACACGCGCACACACACACACACACACCCACACACGCGCGCGCGCACGCCATAGCCGACAACTAATCAACGGCAGCGGCGGCGGCAGCATATCGTGACGACACGTGGCGACAAGCTGCCGGCCACGACCGCAACCACGACCCAAACCACGACGAGCAACTACTACTAAGACTACAACTATGACTACTGCTGCTGCTTCTGCTGCTCCTGCTGCTGCTGCTGCCGCCGCTACTAGTTCTACTCCTTGCTCTACAGTTACTACTACTACTACTACTACTACTACTACTACTACTACTACTACTACTACTACTACTACGACTACGACTACGACTACTACTACTACTACTACTACGACTACTACGACTACTACGACTACTACTACTACTACTACTACTACTACTACTACTACTACTACTACTACTACTACTACTACTACTAATACTACTACTACTACTACTACTACTACTACATTTTTGTCGATGTCGAGCTACCGGGTTTCCGTTCGACAGGCGAACATCAGAAGGGTCCTCAATGTAGCCTTGTAATGCCAAGGTTGCTACGGGTCTTGTTTTTGCTGCAGGGGCTGTGTCGTACCAGGTGTGGGGTCGTAATGTCCACGGAGCTATAATTCGAAATCAGAAGAACCACTATAAGAACGCTCGCGTACAATCGCAGACCCCTGGACCCTATAAGCCAGCGGCTTCAATACTATTTCCAGCCAAGCTACGATTGCTGCCTGTTCAGCAGCGAGCGCCATCAGCCGGGGCAGCACATGAAGCCACTGATGTCTACCTAAATCCTAAACCCTAAACCCTATAGTTTCAACCGTTAGATCCCACCCAGTTTAAGGAGTTCGGCACTGTGAGTGGGAGGCGTAAAGGAATAACAGCGGCTCAGAAGTTTCTGCTGAGGCCAGCCTGCCCATGCTTAAGGGTTAAGGTTGAGACGTGCATATTAAGGGTATAAACAGAGGCAACGCAAACACATAAATGCATGTATCACCTGGAACACATAAGCATTCATGCAAGCCAAGGGCTGTCAAATCCACAAGTGCGGCTTCACCACAGTGGTGGACGCATTGCAAGTGCACTGCATCAAAACATATCACGGCTATCACCTTAATGGCTATTGTAGAGCGTGTTGAAAACTAACTCACAAGTACTGTGAACGTCAGCTAAAGCTGTCGTCCATGGCCTCACTGCGGCAACTACCGCAACCTTCCGGCTGGCCCGAATCCAATAAACCCCTTCAGTGACCATGGCGGAGCCTCAAGTTGCCGCGTCCTCATCTCCTGGCAGCTGCGAGCAGGTTCGCGGCTATGGATGACCAAGGCGACAGTGCTTCTTACGTATTGTGGCAGATTCACAGACACAAGCTTCTGAGCCTCACCCCAATTCAGAAATCCTGTCCTTCGACTTCGGGGTACTCAAAGTCATCGCATCGCATGGGGGCATTGAAGCTTAAAGGTCTTAGAACCCTGAACCAAGCGGGCCTCCGCTGCCATATTGTGCAGCTCCTGCTGCTCACGGAGGCGTGCCCTCTGCTGGAAGGCCTGCAAAGCGAAAGAGCAGGAATGGAAGGTTGAGAGAACTGACAGCTTAGTATGTAATAATGTACTACATTATGTATATTGAAATATGTTGTCTCATATTCTGTTGATTCTATTGCACTACAATGTAGTACATTCTACACTGTACACTGTTAGGGGAGAAAATATGTAGGGGCTTCCCGGACACAAATCACCTGCTTGTGAAGCGAAGCTCCGCCATACAAGGCCGTTTTCAAAACAGTATGAAATTTCAAGTCCATTTATTGGACCAGTGTTGATGGCGAATCGGGTTTAGGCTTTTTGATGTGGTCGACATACAGCATGTTACGTACTGATGATAGTCGAGGGTAGTCGTCGTCGTCTCCGCCGCAGTCGTGCTGGTGGTAAGTCTGAGTCGCCGTCATCACAGTACCACAGTACTCAGTCGCCGTCGCAGTGGTCGCAGCAGCGGTAGCAGTAGCAGCAGCAACAGAAGCAGGATCAGGAGAAGTAGGTGTAGCATTAGCTCTCTAGCTGTAGCACTAGCTGTCGCCGTCACGGTAGCAGAAACAGTAGCAGCAGCAGCAGCAGCAGCAGCCGCAGCAGCAGCAGCAGTAGTAGTAGGAGGACTAGGAGTAGGAGTCGTAGTCGTAGCAGTTGTAGTAGTAGTAGTAGTAGCAGCAGCAGCAGAAGCAGCAGCAGCAGTAGTAGTAGTAGTAGTAGGAGCGGTAGCGGTAGCGGTAGCGGTAGCGGTAGTAGTAGTGGTGGTAGTAGTAATCAGCAGCTGTTGATGGAGGGGGAGGGGGACCAGGAGGAGAGGAGGAGAAAGAGGAGCAACATAGCATCGGTAGCTCAATGTCGGGATGAAGGGAAGTAGCAACAAATGCAACAAACCATCTGCTTGTAATGCCACGAATCTCAATTGGAGTCAGCTGGTAACTGGTAAATAATCTGCCCTCTTCGAACCTACCTCCATCCGCATCGCCGCATTCTCGGCTTGTAGGATCCTGCTTCGAACCTGTGTCGGCCAATGAACTTGAGGGCTCATAGACCAGACTGGTTCACTGACACTCGTGTTTATAATTGGTGATGATTGCCTTGCTGCTGTCTTGCAGCTGGTAGCGCCTGGTAGTGGCATCATTCCAATAAAATAAACAAGGCACTTGGCATGCCATTGGTGCTTCACGGTGCTTCGACAGGTTTCGCGGGAGGGTCAGCTTTGATGGCTAGATTTTCTCGCACTTCGAAAACGAATCTCCGCCGCTACTCCCTTATATCACGCCCGCGGATTAGAGTTTTAGCTCCATTGCAAACATTTCGATGCAGCGGGACCCATACCCAAGGAAGGAATGACCCGGTGAAGCAGGCTGAGCACACGTACGCAAAATCGCACTACCTCGCCCTCTTTGACGACTTCTGCGAGAACGACAGCTGCTCTTAACCTTCGTCTTCATACTGCTCTTGCGGTCACAAGTAGTAATTAGCAGAAATGACTTCGCTGTGGCTGATGCTTCTACAGCTCTGGCGATGTGGGGTGGTTGCGATGGCTCGGTTCCACCATGGTGTAGAAATTATCAGAGACCGCACACATGCCTCCAGGCGTTCCAAGTCTTCTCGTGGCACTGGACACCTTGGCACACTCTGGTTCCAACTACAACTCTTCGACTCAGGGCCAACGGAAACGATCATGCACACGAGTGTAAGTGCATCCTGCCTTGATGTAGTTAGTGTACAAGTCGAGAAACACAGCAGCTTGGCAGTCCCCACACACGGGACATGGGGATGCCATAGTTGAAACTAACGCTTCGGCATGATCCAACACCTAACCCTGAAACTCATGATCTGGACCACGACGTCAAAGCTACACAAATGATAAGACGCGCTCTGAAACCCGAGTTTGCTTGCGTGAGCGGCGTGTATATATGCGCAGGTGTCTGGTCTGGTCTGGTCTGGTCTGTTTGTCTGTCTCTGTCTGTCTGTGTCTGTCTCTGTCTGTGTGTGTCTCTCTTCGTCTGTCCGTCCGTCCAATTACGTTTGTGCAAGAATCGGTGTGTGGGTGTGCGTGTGTGCGTGTGGGCATGTGAGCGTGTCTCATGTGTGCGTTGATAGCATTCGTCGATGGCCCAATGTGCACCCGACAACGTGATCAAGATGCTGCCGAAGAGCGTCGCTGCGCTGGTCGCTTTCACTGGCGCCTCTCAGTACTTTGATTCTGCTTGCCAGTGGCCAGTGGCCTCGTGTTTGATAACAACACGACTTCGATACGACGGCATCATGAGTGTTCTAGGGGCTGGCGACCTTAAGCTAGTTGCCATAGAGGTGCCTTGTGTGGTTCCTCCTGTTCGAGCAGTAACACGTTGAGGAATTTGTATTCTATGCAGAATATGTGGCAACAGGGTGCAGGAAATCAATTGCGAATCCTTGCCGGCTCGAGGCACAAGGTCGTTTTTTTTCACACGGCATGTCATCGAGCACCTGGACTCAGGGATTCCATAATTTGGGGTCGTGAAACAGACTTGAAACAGCATTAACGACACGATCTGTACAACAGACATGCCGCCCGCTTTAACCTTTGAAGACTGCTGCAGAATCAAGCAACACTCATGGGACCGGCCGATTTTGCTACCTAGTTTGCAATTGCCAGTGGCACGACCTGAAGTTCATTCAAAACTGCGACATCTATGCAGGAAGCGCTATCGAACTCCGAAGTTTGAACATCAGCTTCCCGTTCAGCTGCATCACCTGCCATGCTGATCTGCAGTTGCTTGCCGCCATGTGCTGGTCAATGCCAAATCTCTTGCATGCATGCATGCATGCATGCGTGCAGGAGCACACAATATGGGTGGTTGTCGGTCCCTTTTTGGGTACCCAAAATATTAGGTGCCGTAGTATTATTATTATTATAGGGACCCAAAAGGGGCCATAATTTTGACAACCAGCCATATGCCATCATGCTATCCTCGACTCTCTCTGGCACGCTTTTGCTTCTGCGGCGGAAGTCGTCATGTGCCGGATGCACGGACTCGGGCAACTCCTCCACGCCTGAGCCCGCGAGGCCGTGCGAAGTCTCCGAACAGTTGCTGCGAGGGGGCTACGATGCAGTGCCTTACGGAAGCATGACTTTAAACACATGAGGCTTGAAAGCTCGACGATGCAAAGACCCAGAATGCGAGCAAGGTGCCTTAACAAGGCCTTTGAGAAGCCAAATCGAAGGCCGAATGCTTGCAGCCACCAGCTCCTTCCCATTGTTTATGGTCCATAAGGGGTAGAGCCGTGTTGGGTTTGGGGAAGCTTAGGACTGATACATGCAATTCGGCAGTCACCATGCATTTAGGGAGACGCAAAGCCATGCAGCAGCACAGCAAACCAAGCAAGGCAAGTTCACAGCTCTGCAAGTCAGCAGGCTTCACGTTTGCATGTCGTTTACTGCTGATATCTTTGCGCGGCCCTTTCCTAACTGTGCGAAGCGATCTGAAACCCTGGCAGCTCCGCACAGGAGCTCGCAGCCACGCGCTGGCCAGCAACAAAGCCACATAGAAAAAATGAAAGGCACACCTCATGGGTTTAGGATGGTTTAGGGCTCTTCGGGTTTACAGGATTACGGTTGCCAATGCCAATTTAGGGGTTTAGCGTTTGTAGGTCTACGCTTCGGGTGGTTGAGGGGTGCGAGGTGGGACGACCAACTCAGCTACAGTACAGCATGACAAGCCCCTGCACCTCATGCAAGCCATGGCCAACTCTCCGGTGGCTATGGGGGTGCCCGTCGCCAAGCGAGCCAGCAAGCGCTGCAGTGGGGACAAAGCATGTAGCAAAGACCATTCACCCTGGTAGTTGATGTTCTTACGAATGTGGTATGTCCAGAACCACATTTGGATACGCTCCTCCCGAGCGGCCCGGTTCTGAAAACGCAGAAAGGCATCTCGGAGGTGCATGAAGGTGAAAGCGGCTGGCAGTCGAGGAGGCCTCTTCCCCACACCACTGGTGGTGGATAACCTGGGCTCTTGTTAAGGAATCAAGTCAAGTTACCATGACAAGGAAACAATACATTATGTACTATAGATCCCTATTATGGTGACTCAAATGCAAAGCCTTTAGCAATATTTTATACTATAGATCCCTATTATGGTAACTTAAATGAAAGCCTTGAACAAGAGCCCAGTAACAGCGTGTCCTGATTGGTGCTGGCGCTATATTCCTCAGTTGCTGAGTTCAGAAGCCCCTCAAAAAGCGTACAATTTCAGTTTTATAGTGGGTAATATTATCTCCAAAAGTGTAAAGTGTATCCACTCATAGGAACCTTGAAGGAGCCCTTATAAATCCCTTTAAATGAACCCTAAACCCCCCAATAGAACCACCACCTGCTACTAAGATTCCGAGCATGCCAGGAGCTGCGGCTCGGGCAGCTGCGCTCGTTCTCGCAGCTGCCGGAAGAAAGGCAAACTCATCTGCTCCAGCAAACCTGGGAGGTTTCCCGAGAATTCGGGGTGCCTCGTTTTTTGGGGTCCTGAGTCTAAGGAGCCTACTATTTCATACCATTTAGGGTTCTATATATTTCGGTCCCCCCCATTTTCGGAAAACCCCGGACCTCGCTGCTGCTCCGGCGTCTCAATCTCCTCAAAGTCTTTAGCCTTGGGGTCCCAGGCGATGTAGTTGTGCAAGTCCAGTACCTGAACCCCAGGTTAAGCTACCTTTTGTATATCTATGTATGTGTGTGTGTGTGTGTGTATGTATATAAATAAGTAACAATGTAGATGTATGTGTATATATGTATATAAATAAATAAATATATATATATATATATATATGTAGAGAGAGGGAAGTCATAAAAAAGGAACCCCAACAAAGACAGGTTCTTCAGGGTTCAGGTGCTGCCCAAGACTTGCGCTCTTCCAAGGTGGTGATGCCACGCCACCACGCCCCGATGGACCCGGTCACGCAACCGATCTCCCCTTTCTGGCTGGCAGCAAAGGCATGCACATCCTCTTTGTCGAAGGTTCCAGCGAAGGCTGTTTCGATGACCTGTGAAACACTACATGGACCCTAACAATAAACCGGTGCACCCTATACAGCCCAGGCAACCCTTCAGCTTTGCCAATAGCTACTGGACTGTGCCGAGAATTTGACAAGGCTGAGTCGCGTTCATCACCAGCATCTTCTTACCCATGTGCAAAGCCGGACGTCTTCGGAACTCCTCGACACCTGCAGACTTGATGGTCAACTCTTGGGGGAGTGTAGCTTTCGTTGAGCTGCATGCGTGCTCGGTGCGATTGGGACGCAAGTAGCCATTGAAGAACGTCAACACTTTAATGTAGCTTGTCGGTTTTAGCTCGTTGGCCAAGGCGCTAATGGCAAGGGTTGCCAAGATCTCTGCAGTCGATACATTTGCAGCCCAGTTGTGCATGTCCGGCTTGTTGGATGCCTCCTCAGGTGCGAGAGAAACCACATTTCGCTGTTGTGGATCCGATGGTCTCGTGCAATTACATTGCCAGCCTATTACACCGAACTCTAGAAAGAATAGTACAGCTGCTAAGCAAAAGCACAATCATATTGGGTGTGCTGCATTGATGCTCACCTTGGCATAACAAGTGTACATATGTGTATGTATATCTATAATGTCAAGTAATGTCATGTAAGAATGTAGTTACGTATGTACGTATGTATGTGTGTGTGTGCATGTATGTATGTACACTGATTGATATGTATGAGTGTATGTGCATGGACCATATGTGTGCCTTGTTGCGCTTAGCTGTTGCACAAGTGCTGGGGTCTACTCATACTGCAATTACATTAGGGACTCAAGGGGATCGTATGACTAGTCAGGTATTCAGACACCTACAATATATGGTCCCGCCTTGTAGGGAACCGGGCAGGCGGCGCCATTGGGATCGTAGAGGCCTGCCGGCGGCAAGCTCGGATCAACACTTGCGAAGTACACTAGCCGCAGCATAGTCGCTAGTGCTAGCAAATAATCATATCCCCCTATAACTATAGGACCCCTGTTCCAGAACTATACTATATGCATAACTCTAATGTACCCCCACGCCCCCAACACGAAAAAAAACAAAAAAAACATAATATCAGTGATTAAAGTTTGTACAGTTCGGACGACTGGGCACAAAGAACCTGCAGGCTAGGTGCAGCGATGACGACGCAAGCCAGCGGCTAAGAAAATCGCTCATCATGTGGGCGGTGCCCTAACTTAGGCTTCCGTTTCGGGTCCTAAGATGTCCTAAAAGAAGAGTTTATAAGGTACTGCTTGGCAGCCCACAAAAGGAACCCCGAACCCTGGTTTCGGCTTCTAAGGAGTCGGGTCTGCACCTCGAAGATGGGCGGGCTCGTTCATCGGAGAAAGACCGTAGAGTCCAGCAAAGGCCTTCCTAGGTTGGCCCTTGAAAGCCTCTGAAAAATATTCGTAAATAGGGTCCTATTAAGCCCAATAAGGGAAAATATAAAATATCCCAAAGGCCTACCTAGCTTCCGATTCGTGAGGCTGAGAGAGTCCATCCAGTCCAACAGCCGACCCACCTGATCATCTGGTCAGCGGATATCCAGCTAGGGGGTCTCATCGCCGTTTGTTGATGTCTCTGCTTCTGAGTAGGAGGAGCAGGAGCAAAACTTCTTGAACATAAGCCGGGTTGCAATCGTCTTGAAATTGTCCTTGGCATGAGCACTCCAAAACCTGGGGTTCAGGGGCCAGACGCCATTGAAAGTCCCCGCACTGGAGCCGCCGGGGAAAGCATGAACATCAAGCAGGACCTCGATACCGAAGTCCGCCGCTGTCTCCAGGATTTGTTCCACCGCAGAGATTGGAGTGCAAATCCACTTGTCTGTTGGCATCTTCAAGCCATTCGGGTCGAAGGCCGGGTCATTCTGAAAGGGGTCCTCCACTCCCTACTAAATACCCACATGTTGAGAGGTGTTCGGAGCCACCCCCCAAAACCCTGAACTCATTCAAAGGGGGCCTGCACCCCCAAGCCCCTAAAACCCCTAAAAGCCACTACAACCCATAAAAACACCCAAAACCCTTAAAATCCTTAAAATCCTTAAGCCCCTACAACCCCCTTCAGAAAGACTTCCTCGACGATGCCATCCCCGGCTTTCACGGTGACCTCCCTGCTTGAACCATCGAAGCCCTGGCCTGGCAGGCCCAGGGCTGCGCCAGGGAGGGCTTAGGGGGTTTAGGGGGCTTAGGGGGTTTAGGGGGTTTTAGGGCTTAGGGGGTTTAGGGGGCTTAGGGGGTTTAGGGGGTTTAGGGCTTAGGGGTTTAGGGGGTTTAGGGGGCTTAGGGGGTTTAGGGTAAGGGTTTAGGGGGTAAGGGTTTAGTTATTTAGGGTTTAGGGGGTTAGGGTTTAGGGTTTAGGGGGCTTAGGGTATATAAGGGATCCACGATTTTTCCTTTAAAAGGATCTGAAGGGGTCAGGGGTTTAGGGTTTAGGGGGTTAGGGTTTAGGGATCCATGAGGTTTCCTTGAAAGGGATCTATAGGGGTTGGGGATTCAGGGGTTTAGGGCTTAGGGGTTTAGGGTTTAGAGGGTTTTTTGTTCAGGGTAAGGGTTGAGTTGTTTTTTGTTGTTTGGGGTTCAGGTGTGAGGGTTTGGGGTTCAGGCTTGGGGTTTGGGGTTCTTGTTTCTTTTGACTTAGAGCTCAGGGTTTCACGGGTTTAGGGGACGGACGGACAAACAGACAGGGGACAAGTGGACAGAAACAGAAACAAAGAGAGGGAGGGAAGCGGGGAGGGATGTGGAGATGGCCGTGAATGTAGGTTTCTATGTAGATATACATGGGTGATTGTCAAAATTAGGGTCCCTGTTGGGGTACCCTGAATATTAGGTGCCGTACTATATTAGGGACTCAAAAAGGGACCCTAATTTTGACAACCACCCACATGCATGTCTTCGTTTGTTCATCATCCTGTACTGTGCTAGCGAGTATCTTGTCATGGTTCAGAAGTTTGGGTACAACCCACATGGGAGTTTCCGAAAACAGGGGACCCTAAAACCGTACCCCAAAATAATAAGATCCTTATTATAAGGACCCCAAAATAATGTACCCCCAAGTTTCGGAAACCCCCACATGAGAATACCTTGGACTCACAGTCGCATAAACCCGAGGCCGCTCCTTTGATGACATACGAGGTGTCGTAGCTGATGCACCAGGTGATGGGGAGTCGCACCTTTCCTGGCGTCGAGCGGTGCAAACAGTTGCAGGTTCTTCTTGACGAACAAAGGAGCTCTAGGTTAGTTTGTGGAGCACATAAACTCATAGAAGCATTCATACCATACCATACCATAGCAGGATACTAGTAACAGCCTCTGTATACACATGTATGTCTCGTTTCTATTAGTGTAACGTAATGGAATGTCATGTACTGTAATGTCGTGTAAGTATGCGAGTGTGCATGTTTTTATGTATATTATTACATGTATGACGATATGGCTGCCCTTCTCTGTCATTCTGCCTGCCTGTCTGATTGCATATCCGTGTGTCAATGTGTATGTCACTGTCTGTCTGTCGGTCGGTCAGTCTGTCTGTGTGTCTGAGTAATTGCGAGTATGTATGAGACAGTGTGAGCATGGATGAGTACATGCCAGTGAATGTGAATATGTACGCGCATGCATGAGTATGTGTGAGTGTGTATGATCATGTGCGTATGAAAGCACAAATGCAAATGTGTTCATGTTTGATTGCTGTATGTATGTACGTACGTAAGTATGTAGTTGTATTGCATGCATGCTTGCATGCATGCATGAATGTACTCACGTACACACGTAGATATGTCTGTCAGTCTGTGTGCAAGTATGTAGGAATGTAATTACATATACATATCTGTGTGCATGCATGGTTTTTATGCATGAATGTATGTATATATGTATGTATATGTATGTGTATGTGTATGTGTATATGTATCTGTATATGTATATGTAGTGCTATGGAATGTAACGTAACATAATGTAACGTAATGTACTGCAATGCATGCATGCATTGCATGGATGTATGTACGTCTCATGTATGTAGGTGTGCAGGTGCGTATGCATGTATGTATGTATCTATGCATGCACGTAGGCATGCATGTAAAGTATGTTTGTCAGGATGTATGTATGCCACGGTGCATGAATGTTTGCATTCACGAATTTTGTATGCACGTGCTGATGTTCTTGGTGTAGTGTAATGCAATGTAGTGTAGTGTAAACACATGTCACGGCATGTTATGGCATGGCATGGGATATCTAAACGAACACACATACAGCATGCATGTGTATCCAATATACATGTGTGTATACATAAATGTATATACATAGTTCTGTTTAAATATAGCTGCATATCTATATACCTGCATATCTATATACATATATATATATATATATATATGTATGTATGTATACATGCACAAGGCTAGGCGGCTAGGAACGAAGTGTGGGAACCGTACTGAGAACGTGTCGTACAATCGTCAACTCTGCCGGATGCAATTTGAGACCAGGGCTCTGATCCCCAACGCACGGATCTGGGCAAAATCCAGGGGAGTGATGTAACCTCGGTTGGAGGGCTTGGAGTATCTTAGGGTTCTTTTTTTGTTAAGCCCTCGTGTCTTTTGGTGCTTTTTTTTTGAGGGCCCTTTTCCTCCCTGCTACAGTCGGAATACCTAGTAGGTAGAGCCAGTTTTGGTGCCTTAAGGTTCAGGGTTTAGGGAGAGCCACTAGTCACTGGTTCAATACTCCTCTGAGTGCTCGCATCAACAATGCTAGTCGGGTTTGAGGTCATGGTCGTACCGTAAGCCCTAAACCCTATAAACCCTAAGCTTAATCCCAAAACCCAAGATCCTAACCCAGAATTCCCAAAACCCTACACACTAATCCCAAAACCCTAAATCCTGAAACCGGAAGCCCTAGGCCCCAGGCGACCTTTGAGAAACAGCATACACCAGCAAGCCCAGCCTGCTTATTATAGGGGCGACAATAATTCTAGTGGGGTTCCTTTAAGGGTCCCTTTACAGCGATCTATAATTAGGGTTCGTATATGGGCTTTATGTAGGGGGCTTAGAAAGTTGAATAGGAATTGAGGGTATATTATACTATAATCACAGTGCAGAAAAGCTGCTGCGTCGATGCTCCCAGAACAAGCTCAGGATGCGCTCTTCCTCTTGGGTTTTCGGTGCTTCGGGCTTCGTGTTTCTGGTGAAACTCTCTCTCTCTCTCTCTCTCTCTATATATATATATATATAGAGATACATCTCAAAAAGCTGAACCTGAACATGTGCGTGTCTATATATATATATACACATACACACACTTACATAAATATGAAGGTTTTGGTGCTTTTTGTCAGTGGTTTATCCATCTACGGAATCAGCTTCCAGATTCGTTTACGTTTTCACAAGGATCAAGGGTTCTGGCAGGAGGTCTTTCCGCCGCCACCAAGCCTAAGTGCCGGACACACCCGACAGGCCCAGCCGAAACCCAAAGGGTTTTGAGCTTAGGATGTAGGGGTTTCCGTAAGCCCTTCGACATATCAACCCAAAGCCGCAAAACCGCGAAGGGATCTCAGAGAGGATGACTATAGGGGCACCAATGATTAGAATTGGGTTTCGGGGTAAGACACTCTTGGACTAACAGTATAATCCGGTGGCCTACATAGACCCGAAAAACCCGCAAACCCGGAACCTCCTGAAACCCTAAACCGAAGTCGGAAGCCTGCCATGCCAGAAAAGCTGGCGTGGAAGTCATCAGAATAATGTGGGTTTGGGTCTGGGTGTCTGCTTAATTTTTAGTTTTAGTTTCCCTGAAGGAAGGTCCGGGGTTAGTCGCAAACGGGAGGGGCCGTTGACAATCGAGTCTTCATGCTTTCTCTATGGGGTTTTATAACGTGCATGAAAAGATGCATGGATATACTCGCAAGTAGAACTTTCCTTGACATTTCAAGCGGACCGCCCCGATCCTTAGTAAAGCCTATCTACTCAACCCAAGCACTACATCCTATCGTTAAGCTTAATAGTCACATCCCAAACCCCGATGGCCCAAACCCTACTCTGTTCTTTCCGGGCTTAAACACCCCCGGGCCAACCCCCGGACCCTAAACGAGCACTGCAAAAGCGCTATGCAATTCTAAGAGCACCATATATGTACATAAATACCCTTCTATACAAGAACTCTTCTAAAGCCCTACCAGCCCCTGTAACAACCCCCAGGTTGCTTATGCCGGCGCCTTAAATAAGAAGAATAGGGTTCTGAGGTATGTCATGGTATATCACACTCGGATCACAAGGCGGAACCCTAACAATAACACTGCTCATGATTCAGGCCCCTATGCTAAACCCCCACAATTCCCATGTTGAAGTAACCACTAAAGGCCACCGTTGTAGGGGTGGTTGTCAAAATTGTGGCCTGTTTCTGGGAACCCTAAATATTAGGTGCCGTATTATAATAAGGATTTGATAAAGACCCTAGGGACCCTAATATTGACAACCACCCGTATTCAAGTCCTGGAAGCCGCTCTTCAGAAGCAGGTTGACAAGGTCGGACTCGCAGCCGAAATGCTGACGCCGAAGCCGGCCCAATTCCTGCTGCGAGGGCTTAGGGGTTTAGGGCTTCCTGCAGGTAGCGGGTTCTGAAAAGAGTTTTAAAATGGGCCTTTCAAGCTTTGTATAAGATGTTTTGGGCACCGTTTTGCATCTGCCTCGCCTCGGGTTTCAGCAATCCTCCGAGGGTAAGGTGGCAAACAGACCTGAACGAACCCACCACTGTAAGGGCCTTAATAATCAGCATGGGGTTTGGGGGGTTTCCTTAATATAATTTCACTATAACTTATCCGAAAACCCTACAAATTCTTACTAAGGCCACTACA